CTCTCTGTAGACCCAGCTGATCCGAATCTCACTATGTAGACCAGGCTGGCCTTGATTTCATATAGATCTGCCTGTCTCTGCCTCCCAAGTGCTGGGATTAAAGGTGAGGCCCAGCTTGATTCATCTTCTTACTTCCTATGGTTGAGAGGTAGAGTCCCTGCCTGAGAGACCAAGAAATTCTCTGCTTTAGCTACTGAAGAGAAGGATCTGGATCCCCTGAAGTAGGAATTGGCTGGAATCCTTGCATCACAAGCATTTTAGTCTACAACTGTTGTATCTCATAAGACAAATTTTACATGGAGGTTAAAAATACAAGCATGGGGGCACATGCAAAAGGTTACATGTGATGTCAAAATGGAAAGGAGATGGGGGAAATGAGGGGGAGAGGAAAATCAACTAAACAAATATGTTTGGGTGAAAATACAATAATGATACATAAGATTTTTGTATAATTAAAAAAAACTGGAGTTGGAGAAATGACTCAGTAGTTAAGAGCACTGGCTGCTCTTGCAGAGGACTTGGGTTTAGTTCCCAGCACCCACATCAGGCAGCTCACAAGTGCCTGTAATTCCAATTCTAGGGGACCTGATACCCTCCCTCAGGTTTGGCAGGCACTGCATGCATGTGGTGTGTACATAAACTCACACAGAACTGGAGAGATGGCTCAGAGGTTGAGAACATTGGATGCTCTTGCACAGGAACTGGGTTCAATTCTCAGCACCCACATGGTGGTTAACAGTCCATAACTCCATTCCAGGGGATCTGATGCCCTCTTCTGGCCTCCACGAGCATTGCATGCTCGAGTGTACATGCAGGCAAAATACATACATAAAATAAAAATCTCAGTGTGGTGGTGCACGTCTGTAGTCCCAGCACTTGGGAGGCAGAGGCAGGCAGATCTCTGTGAGTTCAAGGCCAGCCTGGTCTACATAGTGAGTTCCAGGACAGCTGGGGCTACAGGGAGACCCTGTCTCAAAAAGACAAAAAACAAAACGAAAAATAATCTCACATAGGCACATATACATAAATAAAGATAAATCTTGAAACAACAAAGTTTAAACAAGAGTAACATGATTACAACAACCCATGGCCCCCAAAAAGATGAGAGCCAAGAAAGCCACGACCTTGTGTTGTCTCAGGAAAGCCATCATTGTGTAAGTTGCTCCTGAGGTAAGATTCCTTGAACTGTAAAAAACAAAAACAAAAAACCCCAAACAAATGAACAACAACAACAAAGTATTTGTCCTTAGATGTTGAGAATGTGACAAAACAATTCCAAGAAGGAATCCATTGGTAGAATAGATGAATAGTGTGAGATTGTAATCATTGAGTGCGTATTTTGGCAACAGTGCCAAAACGCAGTGAGGCAAACCGAAACAAAGCTTACAATTGCAGAGAGATTTATACATCTTCATTGAGGAAGATGTCTTTTTTCTCTTGTTTTAAACAAGAGATCTTTTAAGTCTTTTAATAGGTTACAGGCATAAGAAGCCTTGTCTTTAAATCTTTATGTGTATATGTATGTATATGTGTATATTTATATGCTGTGGGTGTGTGGGTGCTTGGAGAGGCTTCAAGAGGTCATTGGATCCCCTGGAGCTGGAGTTATAGGTGGTTGTGAGCTGCCTGACATGGGACCTGGGAACAGAACTTGAGTCCTCTGGAAAGCAAAAAGAGCTCCTAACCACTGAGACATCTCTCCGGCCCAGCAGCCTTGACTTTTAGATAGCACATCTTAAAGATACTGTGGAGACTTAGAAGAGGAAAATTTTATTCTAGAGAATAACTTCTTGAATTCTTTTAGTTTGGGTAAGATAGGCCTTTTTCTATTTTGAGAAACCATCAGCAAACATTAGAGATTTATACCTTTACAAGATTCATCTATCAGCATTGCTTTAGCAGTTATAGTTTATAAGCCTCCTAGATAGTAACATGTTATACAATCTTGCCAGAGAAGTAAGCTATGGGTATTGGAATGCCCCCTTGCTTTTAGGTGAGAACTCCTAATGTCATACCTTATTAGGCCAGGGCAGGGCAATTTCCAAGGCCGGAGCTGACAATAATTCCTTTGACTTTTGGGCATTCCCAATAACACTTTAGTAAAGGGCTCCGTGTTATCAATTAAGGAGGGAAACAAATGCTAAGTGTTGGAAAGAAAATTGGCATTTTTACCTGTCACATCAAGTTACCCAAGACACATCAATGGTTATCTGAGGGTCCATGAGTGAGGATTTTACTATGGTACCTTGGGCAGCATCAGTCTTCAAGCAGCCATCACTGGAGTTCTGAGGGCAGGACATTATCTCTTAGTGATTTCCCTCTTTGCACAGAGGGCAGAACCGTGTTTCTGAGAACGCTGTTGAGGGCAGTTCTTTTCTAGTGCCCTGGTTGCCCTGCAGCTATGACAAACATTGCCCCTTTGGAATCCTTTTTCTTCAGCCTGGGGTTTCTATGCAGCAATTGGTTATTATTTGCCTGGGGAATATTCCCAAGGTTCAGGTTAACAATTGGGCTTGTTCTTCTGTAATTGTTTTCCTTGTATTTTTGGAATGTCCTTATGGTATTTGTATTGTTCAAAGGCCGAATTTAAAAGTTAACTGGGAGTGTCTGGGATCTTACGGCACCCTTTTGCCTATTGGAGAATGACTGATGAAATAAGTTCCCAGCAAAACTTTGACCCAGGAAAAATAACTTCTAGTCATATTTTAGCACAAAATCACCATTTAAAATCCTTTTTCGGGCTGGAGAGATGGCTCAGTGGTTAAGAACACTGGTGGTTCTTGCAGAAGACCCGGGTTCAAATGCCAGCACCCATATGGCAACTGACAACTGTCCGTGGCTTCAGTCCCAGGGGATCAGACAGCCTCTTCTGACTTCTGCAGGCATTGCACAACATGGGTGCACTTACCTATATGCAGGCAATACATGCATACACATAAAAACAATTTTTTTTGCCTTTTTGAAACAGGGTCTCCCTATAGTACCAGCTGACCTGAACTCACTATGTAGACCAGGCTGGCCTTGAACTCACAGAGTTGTTTTGTTTTTAAGACAGGGTCTCATATAGCCCAGGCTGGCTTTGAACTCACTATGTAGTTGAGAATGACCTTGAACTTTTGATCCTCTTGCTTCTACCTCCCCAAGTGTAGGATTTCAGGCATGGGTGACCACACCCTGTGTCAGTTCTGAAATATGAGAGGGCACAACCATTCTTTCAGTGGCCCTCATAAAAGAATTAATTGTCTAGACAATGATGTTCCTGATCTTAAATTGTCCCTAAGTTTCCCCTAGGTGCAGTAAATAAGTTGTCCTGAAAAAGGCAATCTACACATTTAAAAAAATAATTGAAGCAGGGTCTTCCTTTGTAGCTCTCAAACTCACTATCCTCCTGACTCAGCCTCGCAAGTGTTCGGATTATATGTGTGTACCACCATCCAGCATAAATACAGATTTCTAACCAAACTCCAGACCTAGAAATCCAGATATATTCCAAAATCTTCCCACTCCTCCGACTCGATAAAGGAAAAAGAAAGATGATCTAATGCCCAAACAGGTTTATTGGTTGTTTTACACAAAAGAATAAGAGCAGTTTACAAGTACTTAATAAAAAAAAATGCTCAATACAAGCTGTTTTTCTTTCACTCTACAAAAGTATAACAACTCTAGGCAAACACAATGGACTCAAATTTCCAAGTTTCATAAAGAACATAATAAAAAAGAAGGAATATTGACAACTGATTGCCGCTGGATGAGGAACAGCTGACCCTCCTAAAACAAAGACCTCTAGATAGGCTGACTAGATTCACCAGAAGGGCAAGTAGTGGGGAATGGCTGGGGGTGCCAACAACACAGCAGACAGTAGCAGGGATATCAGAATATAAGGGCTCTGGTAGGGGGAGGGAGGCTATGGAAGGGTGCTATCTGGGAAATGGGTGTAAAAATAAATTTGTTTTAAAAAATTAAAAAAAAATATGGTCCAACATTGGTGTGGTAGCACATGCCTTTAATCCCAGCCCTCAGGAGGCAGAAGTTGGCTAATCTCTGTGTAACTTCCAGACAGGATGCGACTAGAGAAACCCTGTCAAAAAGCAAAATAAAAAAAAATTATATTCTTCAAATAATAGAAATATAAAAAAAAAGCCCAGAACCCCTGCTTTGTTAGGAAAATGGGCAAAACCTTCTTAAAAGTAAGTGAAATATAAAGAAAATATTGAATCCTATAATGACATTACTTTTATTATTTGAGAAGAATACAAGGCAAAAATTCACAGTTCAAAAAAATTTCACAGTTCAGGGCTGAAGAGATAGCTCAGTGGTTAAGGACACTGGCTGCTCTTGCAGAAGACCCGGGTACATTTCCCAACACCCACATGTTGACTAACAACCATGTGTAACTTCAGTTCCAGGGCATCCAACACCCTCTTCTGTCCTCCACGGGCATTGCACGACATGGGTGCACTTACATACATGCAGGCATAACACTCATACACATAAGAATAAAAATAAAATTTTAAATTTCACAATTTAAAGTTAATATTTTGAAGGGGGAAAGTACTAGTGAAATTGGATAATTTTTTTAACTTATGACTAATAGTTTTTAGACTCACTTCAAACCAACCTACAGGCCCCCAATCAAACGAACAAAAAATACAACTTTGTTTTCTGGTGATGCTGCAGATTGAAGCCAGGGCCTTATGCAGGCTTGATAAGCTCTCTACCACTGAGAAACGCCCAGCCACTTCATAATATTTTAAAACTAGATTCTTCCTGATACTAAGCCCAAGGGTTTTTTTTTTTTTTTTTTCCCACTTCTTCACATCTGCTAAGTCTAAATTATGAGAATTTACTCTGCTCTGGGAACATTTCTGCATAGTGACATAATCAGAAATTTTACTTCTTCCATTATTTTACTTATTCATTCCAAATACAAGGAATGTAGCAGTAAATGAAAGGATATAATTTTCCCAGAAACCCGTGGCTGAGACCAAACCCACCAACCCCTGAGAAACTTAGGCATGGACACAGGCAGGGGAAATGAGGCCCTATTAGGGCCTCAGCAGTAACTGCAAATCCTAAAACAGATTTAGAGATGGATTTACCCATGACTCTGTCATTCTCCAAGGCTGGGCAGGGTGGAAGTGTAGAAATCATAGCTTTTTTAGGAAGATAGAAGGTATCACTGGGTACCACTGTGGTTTCCTGAGGAAGAGGAGACACTGAAGCATCTCGATTTGCACACATTAAATCTTCCTCATTCTCGATCGTCAACAACTGTTCTATCTCTTCTTTCAAAGAAAAACATGACTGCAACTCATGCTTAGGGCTCCCAGGGTGTTCTTTCCGAGTTACTCTCTTACCCTCTGGCCCCTCTGATTCACCAAAAATTACTTTGTTTCTAGAATCCTTACTGGCTTCTCCTTCCTTTATGGGAGAGGGATTTTGAGATTTTGCTGTCATTTGTTTAGATTCTTTATCTAAAAAAATCACATCCTTATGAGATTCATGACATATAAAATGTGGAGCTTGGTCTACTTCAGAATTTCTACACAATAAGAAGCCTTTGACTTTTTCTTCTCTTGCCATTATGCCGGTCACTGATTTCTTTGGATGCAGCACTGTCCTTATCAGGAGGCCCCGTGCATTCATTCTGTATTCTTTTGCAGCTCTCTCTCTGCGCTGCTTCTGGAAGTCCTTGAGTTGAAGAAGTTCCTCTGGCAGCTCCATACACATAGGCTAAGAAAACAAATGATCATAGGTTTATGAAAATTAAGCAGAACATTGTACTTTAAGAATATCTTTTTTAAAAAATATCATTTATGCCCGGCATGGTGGAGCACGCCTCCACTTGGGAGGCAGAGGCAGGCGTATCTTTGTGAGTTTGAGGCCAGCCTGGTCTACACAGTGAGTTCCAGGACAGCTGGGGCTACAAGAAGACCCTGTCTCAAAAAAGACAAAAAGAGAAATCATTTATTGGGCTGGGCATGGTGGCGTATGCCTTTAATCCCAGCACTCGGGAGGCAGAGGCAAGCAGATCTCTGTGAGTTTGAGGCCAGCCTGGTCTACGTAGTGAGTTCCAGGACAGTTGGGGCTACAAGGAGACCCTGTCTCCAAAAGATGGTCTTTTTGTAGCCCCAGCTTTCCTGGAACTCACTACGTTGGGGCTACAGGGAGACCCTGTCTCTAAAAGATGGTCTTTTTGTAGCCCCAGCTTTCCTGGAACTCACTACGTAGACCAGGCTAGCCTCGAACTCAGAGAGATCTGCCTGCCTCTGCCTCCCGAGTGCTGGGATTAAAGGCATGTGCCACCATGCCTAGCTACATTTCTTATTTTTTAAAATTATGTGTAGGAGTGTATTGCCTGCATGTGTGTAAGTGCACCTGTGTCGTCCAATGTCTACAGAAGTCAGAAGAGAGCATCAGATCACCTGGAACTGGAGTTACAGATGGTTGTTATCTGCCATGTGGGTGCTGAGATTTGAACCCAGGTCCTCTGCAAGAACAACCAGTGCTCTTAACCACTGAGTCATCTTTCCAGTCCTAAAAAACATCTTTTATTATACCTAAGGAGAGTAGGCAATGGAAAGTTTACTCAAATGTGTTCATATAGCACCCTCTAGTGTCTTCAATATAATTGTACTTAAAATTTTTTTAATTGTATAATTTTGAGTAATTTAAATATTTATAAAGGCAGTTTATCCATAATTGTGTGTGTGTGTGTGTATAAATACAGGAAATGTAAGTCTCCCAGCCTTAGAAGGTGCATCCTCTGAAGCTCTTTCTTGTATAAGCTCCAGGGATAGTCTGTGCATATATATGGTTGTGTGTGTGTGTGTGCGCGCATGTGTGTATGCACCTTACTAAAATGTTTCCACTGGATTACTTTTCTTATTGTGTGGTGTAAGGAATCCAACCCAGAGCCTTATGTAGAGTAGGCAAGAGCTCTTCCAATGACCTACATCCCAAACCCTGGATTAAAAAAAAAAAAAAAAATTTGAGATATGTAGCCCAGATCCACCTGCCTCTGGAGGGCTGAGATTAAATGTGTGTGTGAACATGCCCAGCCCCCTGGATTACATTTTTAAAAATTTTATGTATTATTTCTATGTGTATGAGTGTTATGCCTGCATGTAGGTAAGTGCGCCCATTTCATGCAACGCCGAGGACAGAAGAGGCTGTCGGATCCCCTGGAACTGGAGTTACAGACAGTTGTTAGCTGCCATGTGGGTGCTGGAATTTGAACCCAGGTCTTCTGCAAGAACAGTGTTCTTAACCACTGAGCCATCTCTCCAGCCCCCTGGATTACATTTAAAAAAATTTTTTTTTGAGACAGGGCCTCCCTGTAGCCCTACTTGGCCTGGAACTCACCGCGTAGACCAGGATGGCCTCAATCTCATATAGATCTGCCTGCCTTTGTTTCCTGAGTGCTGGTATTAAAGGTGTGTGCCACATCTGACTCTGGATTACATTTTCAATCTTCCCAACTGTTTATGTTTTTGTTTTGAGACAGGATCTCACTATATAGCCCTAGCCGGACTGGAACTCTATGTATACCAGGTTGGCCTTGAACTCAAAGGATCTGCCTGTTTCTGTCTCCCCAGTGCTAGGATTAAAGGCATGTGCCATGATGCCTGGCACCCAACTGTTAATTTTGATGACGTTTTCAAAAATCACTCTATACAACTAGCAATATAGTATTAAATATTTTTCCACATCTTGACTTTTGGGAGGAGGAAGGGGAGAACAGGGTCTCACCATACTGCTCAACCTGACATTAAACTTAACTATGTAGTCGATGTTTGCCTGAAATTTACCATACTCCTGACTCAGCCTCCTCAGGACTAGGATTACAAGTGTGTACTGCCACATCCAGTTTAGTATATTCTTGTATTTGGGGGAGAGTTTGTTTATTCTAAACAGGGTTTCTTTTTTTAAATATTTTATTTTTATTTTATGTGTATGAATGTATTGCCTGCATGTAGGTAAGTGCATTTGTGTAGTGCAATGCCCATGGAGGACAGAAGAGGCTGTCGGATCCCCTGGGACTGGAGTTACAGTTGTTAGCTGCCATGTGGGTGCTGGGATTCAAAACCGGGTCTTCTTCAAGAACAGTCAGTATTCTTAACCATTGAGCCATCTCTCCAGCCCCCTAAACAGGGTCTCATGTAGCCAAGACTGGACTAGAATTTACTATGTAGTCTGGGATGATCTTGAACTTCTGATCCTCTTGCTTCCACTTCTTTTTTAAATTTTTATTTATTATTTTTATTTTATGTGTATGAGTGTATTGTCTGCATGTGTGCACCAGTGTCATGCAATGCTCGCAGAGGTCAGAAGAGGGCATCGAATCCCCTGGAGCCAGAGTTAGGGAAGGTTATCAGTTGCCATGTGGGTGCTGGGAAGTGAACCCAGGTCCTCTGCAAGAACAGCCAGGGCTCTTAGCCCCATGCTTCCACTTCTTGAATGCTCGGATTATAGGTGTGGACCACCAGTTTATGAGGTGATAATGACTGAACTCCAGACTTTATGGATACTAAGCAAGTACTCTACTAACTGAGCTACATCCCCAACCTATCTTATTTTTAGTTTAAAAATCTGTCTTTCCAGCTATGGTGGTACATGCCTTTAATCCCAGTACCCAGGAGACAGAGGCAGGTGGAGTTCTGAGAGACTGAGGCCAGCCTGGTCTACATGGGCAGTTCTAGGCCAATTCTAGGGCATTTTTTTTTCTTGAAAATTGTTTCATATTAGCACTTCTAAGGGCTGTATGTGAATGGTATAACTTATTTAAATGCTACTGAATCCTAATGAATCTTCACTATACAAACACTAACATAAAGAATGTATTAAGGGTTGAGAAGATAGCTCAGTGGTTAACATGCTTACTGTGCATGCTTGTAGAGGTGAGTTTGGATCTTTAGCACCTATGTAAAAGGGAGGTATGTGGGCAAAGTGGTGGATCGCTCCGCTGAGTGTGTTCGTGTCGAAGCTGCCGCTGCCGCCGCTGCCCCCTGTCCCGGGTCCCCCGCTCCCTTGGGTTTCCTCAGCCCAGCTTGGTCCAGCCCAGTTCCCGGGAGAATGAAGTTCGTGTACAAGGAAGAGCATCCGTTCGAGAAGCACCACTCTGAAGGTGAGACAATCTGGAAGAAATACCCAGACCAGGTCCGGTGATAATAGAAAAGGCTCCCAAAGCTCAGATAGGAGACCTAGACAAAAAGAAATACTTGGTGCCTTCTGATTTCACAGTTTGTTAATTGTACTTCTTGATCTGGAAGCGAATTCATCTGCGAGGTGAGGATGCCTTATTTTTCTTTGTCAACAATGTTATTCCATCCACCAGTGCCACGATGGGCCAGCTGTACCAGGAACACCACGAAGACAACTTCATTCTATACGCTGCCTACAGTGATGAAAATGTCTATGGTCTGTGCAGCTGCTGTTCCATTCTACAAAGAGAGGTGGTGCTCCTTCCTTGACTTCCACCTCCTCCAGGCTCAAACACCATCTCCCTTCTTCAGGACCTGCATTTCATAATGTTTGAGGCTCTTTCCAGCCCCTCTTAGCTAGAGGGGTAGTGAGAGACATGGCTTCTCATACCTCTTTCTCTCCCCTTGGCTCTCCATTCCCTTTCTGCTTTAGACTTCTTGATTGTCAGTCTCTGTCACATCCAATGATTGTTTTGGTTTCTATTTCCTAACTGCTCAAGGGGCTCAGAACCACAACAATCCCTTTCACTACCTCTTTTTGGGGGATAGATGGAAGGGACTGAAATTGTGGGGGGAAGGTAGGAGGCAACATCAATAAACAGGAAACCACCAAGCTGAAAAAAAAAAGGGGAGGTATGTGAATATAACCCCAGTGATGGGGGAGGTAGAGACAGGATGATCCTGGGAACGTGTTGGTCAGCCAGTTTAGCTGAATCTATGAGCTCCAGGTTCAGTGAGAAATCCTGACTCAAAAATAAGGTGGAAAGGGTCAGTGAGATGCCTCCATGGGCAAAGGTGCTGCTAAGCCTGATGAACTGAGTTGGATCCCTAGGACCCACACAGTGGAGAGTATCATACTCCCTCAAGCTGTCACCTGACCTCCACATGTGTGCACCATGGACCTATGTCCTCCACACACGTATATATACACACACATACACATATAGATATGTACATGAAATAAAATTTTTTTGTGTTTTTGAGACAAGGTCTCTCTGTAGTCACAGCTGGTCTGGAACTCACTATGTAGACCAGGCTGGCCTCAATCTCACAGAGATCCACCTACCTCTGCCTCCCAAGTGCTTAGATTAAAGGCATGTAACACCATGCCCAGCTTCACAAAATAAATTTTTAAAAGATGTATAATTTTATGTGTATAAGTGTTTTGCTGCACATGTGTACACTGCCCACGGAGGCTAGAAGAGGACATCAGATTGCCTGGAACAGTAGTTACATACAGTTCTTAGCCACTATAGGAGTACTGGGAACTAAACCTGGGTCACCTATAAGAGCAACCAGTGCTCTTAAATGCTGAGCCATCTCTCCAGTCCCAATAAACAAACTTTTTTTAAAAAATCTTTTTGAGACAGGGTCTCCCTGTAGTCCTAGCTGACCTGGAACATGCTATATAGACCAGGCTGGCCTCCAACTCACAGAGATCTGCCTGCCTCTGCCTCCCAAGTGCTGGGACTAAAGGTGTGTGCCACTACCATAAGGTGGGGGAACAACAGAGGAAGATAAACATCTATCTCTAGGCTCCATATGCAGAAGAACAGGCAAGCACTCCACATGTGGAAACACACATGGATATACCACAAAGGGATACACATATGTATATGCACATGCACACAGATTCATTGTATTAAGCTGGACATGATTGCGTATGCTTGTAGTCCCAGGACTTGATAGATGGAAGCAGGAATACTGGCGTTCAAGATCATCCTCAGACATATAGCAAGTTGAGGCCCTATGTTCAGTCTATAGCACGACAAACAGTCAAACCAAAAAAATCAAACCTCAAAGCCAATAGTGAATATCACTATGTCCTCTGTGAGGAAGAGGCAGGAAGTACAGAAAAAGAGGTTCTGAAGACACCCACAGAAAGCTTTACCCACCTCTGTGCTTGCAAGCCGGTCTGCAGAACCCTCTCGATAAGTGTTTAGGTACCCATCAACCAAGGTGGTCAGGTCTGACATCATCTCATCCAGAACTACCAAACGAAGTGGAAGCAAGTAGGTTGTTTCCAGGGCCAAAATTTTCAATAAAGAGGGTGAAAGAGGTCGTGTCATCCACACTTCTGGATTTTCCTAGAACCATAACAATTTTTAATGACTAGTAAGCAAAACTTTCAGACAATAACTGTTTACAGTTTATTTAATTTAAAACACTATCATTTTCTTCTATTCTACTTTCACATTATCAGTAGCCTTCAGAGCAAGTACACACATGGACACACACAGACACACAGATACACAGACACACACACCCTTAACCCTACATATATAATGTCTGCAAGTCAGAGAAGTAGGGTGGGGAGATAGGTTGGTATATCAGGACTTGTTCAAAGTTGGAGGGAGCAGGCTGGGGATGCAGGAAAGAGCTTGCCTGCCATGCCTAAGACCATGAGTTTCAGTTTTATCACTATCAGCACAAAAACCCCACAAAGTTGGAGGGAAGGTTGGGGTGAAGCTCAGTGTTAGAGCTCTTGCCTAACATATAAAATGTCCTGAGTTTAATCCCTGACACCTCCAGAGGGGGAGGGGAGTTGGAGGAAGCAGGCTTTAGTATATTGACCAAATCTGTAGACAATACATTCACAACCTAGATTTGCATGTAAGGATATTATGTACTAAAGAAACTATATTGATTTGGGAAAAACAATTGAGATTATTTTGATTTTGGTTCCATTGTCTTAATTCAAATTTTCATAAAATTTTTTTTTGTCTATTTTGAGGCAGGGTCTTCCTACAGCCCCAGGTGGCCTGGAACTCACTATGTAGACCAGAACTTGCTATGTAGACTAGACTGGCCTTGAACTCACAGAGATCCACCTGCCTCTGCCTCCTG